GGTGTTTGTATGTTTTAACCTATTAACGCTTAGCTACACTCTGCATCTTTTCCAACTTCCCTGAAGATACAGACCTTATGGTTAAAGTATCAGGTGTCTCTTTCCTCCCTGCCTGGGACCAGTTATGTCCCCTCCCCCCCACCCTCCCACCCCCGCCGGGTGCACGTGGCCTCACTGCAGATCCAGTGCAACTCGCCCTGGACATTTAGAAACAAACGATCCAAACGAGTACTTGCGCGTGCGCGTGCTAAGTGAAGCCAGTATACCATAAAATATAGTGCCATAAAATGAGATCGAATTCTTTCCCTAGACCACTGGCGTGTCCTGTCCTTCGTGAAAACCTTTCTCGGCCCTTTTGCGGGGACATTAAAATAAAAATAAACTTTATGCATGCACATACCCACACAGGTTGGGCATTGTCGGGACCCGGGAGGGGGCCCCCGGGGCACCTCTGCCATCCTGTGGTGTCCCCCCGCTGGCCTGAGCGCCTGCTGCCGTGGTCCGTGTGAACGTGCTTTGGCCGGTCTCGAGCCCTGTCCTGAGCCGGGACAGTGAGTGGAGGGGACCACCCTGCCCTGAATCTCTGAGCTTGGAGGGCAGCGAGATGTGTGTGGGGCCCAGAGAGGCCCCGGGCTCTGTTCCAGATCACCACTCGCCCTGCACTCCCACCTGAGTGGGCCTCTCACCCCAGAGGCCTGGCTGGGTCCCCCTCTCCAGACCCTGCGTGGCTGCCATCGTGCCTAGAATGTGATCCAGAGCCCCCGCGAGGCCCCCGGCGACCCAGCCTCGTCCCCGGGCCGCCTCCCTCCCTCTCCAGCCCCCCTGCCCTCATCCCTGTTTTTTTTTTTTTAAATGTTTTGTTGTTGTTTTTATTTTTACTTATTTTGAGAGAGAGAGTGGGGAAGGGCAGAGAGAGAGGGAGGCTGAGAATCCCAAGCAGGCTCCAAGCTGTTAGCGCATAGCCCAATGTGGGGCTTGAACTCACGAACCGTGAACTCATGACCTGAGCTGAAATCAAGAGTCGGATGCTCAACGGACTGAGCCCCCGGTGCCCCTCCTCCCTGTCCTTTAGACCTGGACTTGGCATTTCCTGTTCCCTCTGCTGGGAACATCCCTCCCCAGCACCCCTGTGGCTACGAAGCCTTCCCTGACCTGTCCCCATTGTCCCTGTCCTCACCACCCCCGAGCTTGTCTCCCTCCCTGGTGGGACCCCGGGGGGCTGATCTGGCTCACTCTCCGCCTGCACCCAGCGCCGGGCCCGGCATACAGTAGGCGTCCATCAGCAGTTGACGAATGAACTAGTGAGTCAGCACCGAAGTGGCTGTCGCAGCCGGGAACCCGTAACATAAATGTCCACGGGCAGGACGCGATGAGGTGAAGGCATTTTCAGATGTGAGGCTCCTCTGTGGCCAGGAGGGGTGAGGTCAGCACATCTCATCGATGTGGAAAGACGTCTACAGTATATTGCGCAAAAACCAGGTTTAGATGAGACAGCAGTAACAGGACAGTCCCCATTACGAGGAATTGTGCACACTCATTTCTGTAGACGCACGTGTGTGTGGCTCAGACTAAACAGTCACGGGTGTTTATTCATCTCAGTGGTTGGGGCCAGAGGGAAGCTTCAGGACTGGTTTGATCCAGTGGCTCAGTGATATCACCAGACATTCCGTGTCCGTCTGCTCTTCCCTCCAGCAGGTCAGCCCCATTAGCAGGTGTAATCCACTTGTGGTTTCTAACTGGTGGCCACTTCCGGGGCTCCATCCATTCTTCCTCCCACAATCTTGTCCGGGGACTTTTCTGGGAAAGAAACCTCCAGGGCACCTCTCTTCCATTCATTGGCCAAGTTGGGTCATGTGCCTGTCCCTGAGCCAATCATTGCAGCTGGAGGATTAGTTGTGGTCTCTGAGGACCCCCTCTGAGGTACAGCTGCAGAAATGAAAATTGGGGTGGGGGTGCCAGGGAAAGGAGACATGGGTGTGATAAATGGCATCACCCCCATTTTACACATGAGGAAACGGAGGCCCCAGCATGCAACTTTACCTCTCTCGGCTTGCACAGGGTGGTCAGGGGCAGCTGTGGGTTTAAACACCCCCCGCCAAGACCCTCTTCTTTCCCCTCTGTCTGCCCATTTCTCAGCTGAGGCTGTGGGTCCCTGGCCGTGCTGACCGCCACGAGAGCGAGCCAGACCCCCTCCCTCAGCACCGCACAGACGTCTCCCGGTGCGTGGGTTTACTGGCTCTGGATCGGCTTCAGGTTCTCAGGCGAGGCATTTTTACTTTGCCCTAAAAGCCTTGCAGGTGGGGGTGGGGGCAAAATACAATTCCTGGGGGCTCGGCTTTAATGGTTCCTTTTATAGAATCGTTCGAATTATAAATGCATGAACTCGAGGAAACCCTGCTGAAGAATGCAGGAAAGCTGGGCCGTTTAAAGGGGTTGAGGTAAAACAGTGGTGGGCGGGGGAAGTTTGCTCTTTTAAACACTAGCTGTTAAAAAACCAAAGCGAACCCCCCGGTGCCGATCTGGTCCCTGAGAGGCCTGGTTTCCTGGCTGCGGCCCGTCTGGGGGGCTCCCGGTGAAGTTAGTTCCAGATGTGGACGGGCCCGGGCCCTCCGGGAGCCCCGCTTTCCCTCGCCTCCGGCTCCCCTCGCCTAACCCTGCGCGTTTTTGTCCAGGGTACGCAGCCTGGGCTCAGATTCTGCTCTCTCCCCCGAGCTGGGTGGCCTTGGCCAGGTTGTTCTGCCTCTCTGAGCTCTTCCCTCGTGAGGGAGATGGGCTTTCTCTGCCCCGTCTCTCGCTTTATCTTTCTTTGGAATGCACACCGACCACTGCCAATGAATGGACATCAGTGCACACTGGCCGGTGGCCTCGCCTGGTCTCGGCTTGCCTGTGACTGCACACCCGGCAGCGACTGTTCCGTCCGCCTTCCCCTGTCTGCCTCCAGGACCCCATATCCTCAGGGTGCCCTCCCTCCCCCTGCCCACGCTTCTTCCAGATCCTTCTAACTGGGCCCCCCTTATCAGCTCTTACTGTCCTCTCCGTGCCAGAGACAGGGTGCCAGGCTCGGCTGTCGTAATGCTTGTCCAGCCACACACCATCCCGGGTGAGCTCCTCTCTGCCACCCCGCCCTGAGCCAACGTTTCTTGGGCGCTGCCGGTACTGCAGAGCTCTGCCCTGAGAAGCATCTATGTGGCAGAGGCGGGACTTGAACCCAGGATGCCTGGCGCCGGCCAGAGCACGTTTGGCCCCAGGTCCGTCTCTCTCCCAGATGGGGAGCCGCACCCAGGCCGGGACATCCTGCTGCCCACCGGCCAGCTTCCCTCCCACGCCAGGTGGGCATCGCAGACATCGGTCCTTCCCACGTCAGGTGCGAGTCCCCGCCGTCTCACCCCCGCTCTGTCCAGTCCCTCAGCAAATTCTGTCGGTTGAGTCTTTCACAGTATATCGGGATCTGCTGTTTGCCAGCTCTGCAGGGACTCCAGTTATGGGACCGTTGGGCAAGACCAGGAAGGGGGAGGGGCACGTCCCTGTACGTTTTCTTCTGCAACTTCCTGTGAATCTGTATAATTATTTCAAACCGAAACACTAAAAATGAATTCCGAAGATGGATTTGAAAATGGAACCATTGAGGGTCTGATCCTGTCTAACCAGCCGCATCCCCCCTCCCTGCTCCGCTCGGTACCTCCTCCTCCCCCCTCCCCAGCCCCCCCCCCCAGGACACCTGGGCTGCTCTGTTACACGCTGCTCAGCTCCAGCACCCCATGGCAACCGCCTCATCTCCTGGGGCTGCTGGGAGGCCCCAAACTGGGGGGCTTGAAACCACAGGCCTCACCTTCCTAAAGTCTGCAGGCCGGAGGCCCCGAGACACATGTCCCTGCGTGCCTGTCCCAGCATCTGGTGGCTCCTGCTGTCCTTTCGTGCCCCCCTCTGGGAACATGTGTGTCAGTGTCTCTGTGTCTTCATGTGGCCTTTGTCTAAGGACACCCTTGAATCCCCTGTGACGTTATCTTAACTGATTACATCCGCAAAGATGCTGTTTTTAGTAGTCACATCCTGAGGTTCTGGGTGGACTTGAATTTGGCAGGGGGAGAGGGGACACTGACTCCGTAGACACAGTGGCAGGACCCTGCCTTACCTGGGCTCCTGAGAGCCCCCCATGATTTATCCCCTGCTTCCCCCCAGGCTGTGCTCCAGCCAGCGGCCAGTGTCCTCACTGCTCCTTGAGCGCACGCACCTCGCTCCCACTCCAAGCATTTGCCATGGCAGTGCCCTCTGCCCAGATGCCCGTCCCCAGACAGCCACCTGCCTCCCTCCCTCACTGTGACGCCGTCCCCTGCTCAGACGGCCCCTCCGTGTGTAGGGCGGCAGTCACCAGGGCTGCGTGCCGCAGGCCCCACCGTCCGTGGGCAAGCAGGCTCCTCCCACCTCTTGAAATTAGGCAGATCATGGGGCACCTGGGTGGCTCAGTCGGTAGAGCGTCCCACTTCGGCTCAGGTCATGATCTCGCTTGGTCTGTGAGTTCAAGGCCCGTGTCGGGCTCTGTGCTGACAGCTCGGAGCCTGAAGCCTGTTTCGGATTCTGTTTCTTCCTCTCTCTCTGCCCCTCCCTTGCTTAGGATCTGTCTCTTTCTCTCTCTGAAAAATAAATAAAGATTTAAAAAAAAAAATCAGGTGGATCACATGACTTGCTTTGGCCAAAAATGTAAGTGCCACTTCCAGGAGCCCAAGACCTGCAAACCTCAGCCCGTCTCTGGTTTCCTGCGCACAGGCTCCCCGCCTGCCCCACCTGCCGGCACACCCAGAGGACAGGAGGTTCCCTGCTATGATCCAGGCTCCTGAACAACCTGGCAGAGAGTAGCCGCTGAATGGATACTTGCCGGGTGGACAGATAACTGATGCGTGAAGAAGCTGGGAGGCGCGAATGAAACCGCGTCTGTGCAGCGCCTCCCCATCACCACTTCTCCCCTAATTGACCTTCTGTGCATTTGGCTGCTTCCGGTCTAGGGCAGAGCATCAACCCCAAGTTGGCAGGCCTGATCGGGCGGCATGGGCCCCAGAACAAGCAGCCCTTCATGGTGGCCTTCTTCAAGGCCACGGAGGTCCACCTTCGCAGCGCCCGCTCCACGGGGGGCAAGCAGCGCAGCCAGAACCGCTCCAAGACGCCCAAGAGCCAGGAAGCCCTGCGGGTGGCCAACGTCGCAGGTACGCCCGGGGCGGGAGGGTTCATGTGCAGACCCTGAGGCACCCACAGGCTGCGGCACGACCCCCCCCCCCCCTTCATTACAGTGCTCAGCAAATGAGCCTGGAGCCAATGCAGCAGGAAGCAAACCCACAAAATCCCATCTTGCACAGATCTCACCGCCTTAACTGTATAAAGTAAGAAGTTCATGCAGAAATGCACGTAGCAACACGTTAGTGTAACAAGATGCCAGTCACGTAAATTTCCAAGCAGACAGAATAATGGCCACAAATAAATGAAGGAGAACCCTGAAAACATGCAGGGGAAGACACCACCCCAACATCCCAGGAAGGCCGCTCCTTGGGAGAGGAAAGGAAGAGAAACTGGGAGAGTTTGCTGTGCCTTTAATTTTATTTCTTCAAGTGAAAAATATTTGACACTCGTGGCTGATTTTACTACTTGTTAAACAGGGGCGGTAATGGGGTTTTTTGGTACGTTATTTGGGATACTTTTAATGTTGTTTGAAGTGTTATAAGTAAAAAAAATGAGCATTAACCCTTTCCATGTATTTTGAGGGGTACTTTTAGGTTCATTGAAACGTTGCATTATTCTAAGTAAGCACAAATTAAAAATAAAGGGAACATTTTCACAGCAAGCAATTCAGAGAGTACTAGAAATCCTGAAGGTAGTGCATCCTGCAAAGGAAACTTCCAGGGGGTGCAACATTCGTGTACTTCCAGGGTGCCTGGCGTCCTGTGGTTCCTGAGGCTCTGAGGAGGTCGGCTTCCCATTTTATAGCAGGAGCAAAAGTGGAGCCCAGAGAGGTTAAGTCACTTGTCCAGAAGTGCACAGTGTGAGCATCAGCCCTGGGATTTGACCTGTCGATTTTGCTGGGAGGCATCTGCCTCTACTTAAGGAGCTTTGGTTCCTCCGACAGGCGTGTTCTGTGCTGACAGCTCACCAGGTGCTCGTGCGGCCCAGGGCCTGGCTGGGATACGGGCCCTTTCCCTACGGGCCGATCAGGCAACAGGCTGGGGGTGGCATCTGGTGGCCTGGGGTTGCTGGGGTGGGTTTTGGGGCTGGGCTGCCCTGGACCGGCCTCTTTAGCGCTGTGGACGCCTGCGGCCTGCCTGCTCACACCCTGGCCCGTGTCACATTCTCCTGCGTCGCGAGTTAGTGAAAGATGCACCCGGATTCCCCCCGGAGTCAAAAGAAAATTGCAAATAGATTAAGTTCCCCAGCAACCATGTTCCCAGTGGGCTGTAGGAATGGTCAACCAGACCCGAGGAGCCCAGCTCGTGCCCCGTCCCCTCACCTCGGCCAGGGCACTGCTGCCCGAGGACTCCTCAGGGAGCTGCTGGCAGAATAATGTCCCCTCACCCCCAGGCCTCCGATGTCCTTGTCCTTTATTCACGAGAACTGGTGAATATGGGACCTTACGTGGCAAAGGGGGCTGAGGCTGCCGATGGAATCCAGGCTGCTGATCAGCGGACCTAAGATAGAGAGGCGTGGACTGTCGGGTGGGCCCAGGGTCGCGCTGTGATCACGTGGGTCCTTAAGGCAGGGGACTCTCTCCTCGCGTGGGGTCAGAGGGGCGGCGAGGCGTGATGTCGCTGGCTTTGAAGTTGGAGGCGGGGTGCGGGGCACAAGTGGGGGGTGCGGGCTTCGTGAAGCTGGAAGAGACGAGGAAACGGGCGGCCCCTGAACGTCTGGGAGGAAGACGGCCCCACCGGCGCCCTGAATTTGGCCTGTGTCGCACTCGGGGCTGTGGCGCTAGTTCCACAGCAGTGCTGTTTTCAGCCGCCGTGTTTGCAGGGCGGCCGACGCAGCAGCCGGGCGAGCCGGAACGCGTCCCCCCGAGGCCACCGCAGGGCTCCGGGTGGGCTGCGAGGCAGCGCAGGGCCTGCAGCAGGGACCAGCCTGCCCGCTGCGTGGGGCGCAGCTCGTCGGCTCTGCGGGCTCCTGGCCGGGAGACGCATGCGTGGGGGACACGGCGGTGGTCACAAATAGGGTGGCTGGGTGGCAGAGCGGCCTCGAGCCCCAGGTTCACTCCATGTTGTCACCAGCTTCTTTGGCCTCACAGAGCCAGTTTTTAAATGCCTGTTGATTCTCCTCGAAGAAGAAAGGAACGGTCGCTGTGGCTGGTAAAGCTTCTCGAGTTGGGGCTCCTGCCCCCAGGGTCCCCGGAGTTTGTGCGCAGGGATTCGCAGGGAATGTTTTCTGGCAGTTGGATCCATCCTTTTTCGGGCTTCTCAGAAGGGCCTGTAATGCCCCCTAATGAAAATCCAACAACGGGGCGCCTGGGGGCTCAGTCGGTTAAGCATCCGACTTCAGCTCAGGTCACGATCTCATGGTTATGAGGTTCGAGCCCTGCGTCGGGCTCTGTGCTGACAGCTTGGAGCCTGGAGCTGCTTCGGATTCTGTGTCTCCCTCTCTCTCTGCCCCTCCCCCACTCACATTCTGTCTCACTCAAAAATAAATAAACATTAAAAAATAAAAATAAAAAAATCCAACAACTGAATCCCCTAATTTGCATTGGAAACCTCCTCCATGCTGGCCCTGGGGACTGGGGTTTGGTGGGGAAAGTCCAGCCTCGGGATTTGGGCGAGACTACAGGTGGCTGTCACTCCCCAGGCACACTTAACTGACAGGCCTGAGAGGCAGGGGACGGGGACTGGGGATGGACACCTCGGGGGAGGGGGGGTCAGAGAAGACAGACCCCCGACTGCTTTGGGACCAGCAGGTGCCCGTGAGGCCTGGCTGGGTCGGCTGGACCAGGGTGACCCAGGGAGCAGGCACACAGACTCACAGCAGGTGACAGGGTGGGTCTGTCGGGGAGAGAGGCCGAGGGGGCTGGGGCAGGGGAGGGCGGGGCTGGCAAGGTGAGCCAGACCAGGAGTCCCCTTGGGAGCCGCATCTGGAGTCTGAACTTCATCCGAAGCAAATTTGGAAGACTGGGCAGAGTTTTAAGCTGTGGTGTGGGGGAGGGGCAATCGGATGATCGTTCTGGCTGCTCTGAGGAGGGCGGGAGCCCGGTGGGGGGCCAGAGTGGGGACCCTTGTTAGATGTCTTTCCACACCAGCCAGGCAGGAGGCTCGGAACCCGGTGTCCTGGAGGTCTATCAGGTGTACCCCGCGAGTGAAGGAAGAGGGATCAGGCCCCGAAGTCTTAGAGTTTCACACCCGATTTCCCCCACTGTATCCTCGCCAAACACTCATTGGGTCCCCACTTACATAACCCCCAGGACGGGGCTCTCACTACCTCACATGGCAGCTTCTCTAGCTTGCTTGGGGTCTGCCTCCTTCCCGGGGCTTTCTACTTCCTGGCCTTTTTGGAAATTCATCTAAACCCTTCCTGGACATTTTATTTTTAAAAAGTAGCAAGGTCTTACCCCCGCTGCTCCCCCCCCAACAGGCTGAGTAAACCAGAATGTCTGAATGTGTGAGCACACACACACACGTGCCCTTTCAAAGTGCTTGACCCCACGTGCTGGGTTGGGAATCTTCTAGAGCCGTATAGAATCCTCTCTCATATATAGCCCTTCATGTGCTGGGGGGGGGGGGGGCGGGCGGAGAGAGCACATGCTCCAGCCCGCTGTCCCCTACAGAGCTTTCTCTGCTGCAGGCTATTCCCACCCCCCACCCCCACCCCCACCCCCAGAGCCTCCTACTGCTCTTAGAGGGTGTGGCTGGGGATGGAGAGGGGTCCCTTGCCTTCCTTTCACTGCCTTCTCCCAAACCCCCTTGGTAACAAGGCAGCTTCACCAGATGATCTGTGGGGGTTGTAACTTGTCAGCTGCTCAGGCAGGGGCTGGTGGAGGCGGGTGAAGTGGCTGTGTGGGCTGGGGGGGTGGGTAGGGTGGGGACAGGGGAGTCAGGAGTCCTTTCTTCCTGTCCCAGCCTTTCTGTTCACACGAGGTCATCTTGAAGCAGGACGTCTGACCGCTCTCTCCCAGAGCAGCCTGGTGATCCCAGGAGGCGTCTGGGTCTCTGGTGGCAGGGCCGGTGCCCACCCCCCTCCCCACACCTGCAGGCAGCCTCACACGTGGCTCGCAGCCTTGGTCTGTTGGGCCTTGGGTTTCAACATGAAGCCAAATACCATTGCTTTGCTTCCAGAAGGGATCGGGCAAAGTGGCCCTCAGGCCCATCGTCGCCCTGCCTCTGCTCATGGCAGACATTACTAATCAATGCTGGCACCTTCTCACTGAGCCTCACATAGCTTCAGATCCTTTTTCACTCAGGACTTCAAGCAGCCAGCGATGTTGGCGCTCAACACAAAGTTTCTTTGCCATGGGGTGTCCCAGGTTCACGTGCTCAGTCTTCTGTCTTGTTCCGGCTGCTCCACACATCACTGGGCTGAGGGGAGGCTCCTCCTCCCTCCCCTCTACCTCCCACCTCCCTACAGGGAAGGCGGACATGGAGGCCTGTTCACTGAAGTCGCTGCCTACGGCCACGGGCATTGCTACAGCGGTGGAGGCCACTTTGGATTTCCGCTCAGTGCATTCCAGACGGTATTGTGAATACTCTGGTCGATTTTCTTGGGCTGTTGCCTTGACCTTGACTTTCACATGTTGAATGCCACCTGCCCTCCAGAGGACTCCTGTAGCTGGTTCCTTCCCTCAGCCTTTCCGGCTGCTGGGCCCAGAGGTGGGGGGGAGCCCCTGGCCCCCCATTCCCACTCTGCCCTCCCAGCACCCGTTGGGGCTCAGTCAGCAAGTCTGCCCCCTCCCCACTGCCTGCTGCTGAGCCCCGGTCATACCTCCCCGTTCCTGGCAGGTTCTAGTGCCTGTCAGCCGCTACTGCTGTCAGGGTTCTCGCTGACCTTGGCCGTCACGGAGGGCACCCTCCTCTCCATTCCTCTGCGTCCTCGCCCTGGAATGCGCCTCCTGTGGAAGCCGCTCGGGCTGCTCTCACTCCCTTTTGGTTCTTACGCAAATACGGCTTCCTCCCAAGGGCCTTCTGTTAGGGCGCCCGCCACCCGGCCCCCGCGGCACACTCGCCTCCTACTTTGCTGTTCTCCTTCTCGACGGGGCATCATTTATGCTGACCCGTTGATATATTAGGTGTCTCGGTCGCTGGAAGACATATGTCCCCGGGGCAGGGCTTTGCTTCGTTTGCACCTGTAGCTCTAATGCCTGAAACTGCATCTGCAGACCAGTAAACAGACAGTAACGGTTTGCACGAGTGAATGAATGAGTGAATGAATGAATGAGGCAGCAGGTGACTGGGTAGTGAGACTGTGCGCCACCCCCTCACTGAGGTCGTCTCTGTACTTCCGAGTGTCTTTCATAATCAATTCAATCCAGTTTTTCTCGTTGGTTTGTAAATCATTAAAAATTGCTTTCCTGGGGGCGGTGGGGGGGCGCCTGGGTGGCTCAGTCGATTGAGCATCCGACTTCAGCTCAGGTCATGATCTCACGGTTCATGGGTTCGAGCCCCGCGTCGGGCTCTGCTGACAGATCAGAGCCTGGAGCCTGCCTCAGATTCTGTGTCTCCCTCTCTCTCTGCCCCTCCCCTGCTTGCACTGTCTCTCTCTCTCAAAAATAAATAACCATTAAAAAAATTGCTTTCTTGGACACCTGGGGAGCTCAGTCAGTCAAACTTCCGACTCTTGGTTTTGGCTCAGTTCATGATCTCACCGTGTGTGAGTTCGAACCCCGAGTCAGGCTGCACATGCTGCCGGATTGGGATTCCCTCCCTCCCCCTCTCTCTGACCTTCCTCTATGCTCATTCTTTCTCTCATTCTCTCAGAATAAATCAACAAACTATAAAAAATTAAAACATACAAATTGCTTTCCTGAACTATAAAGACATGTGTAAAATCAGGACTATTCACAGAGGCTGATGGACGTGAGAGTTGCATGTGATTGAAGCCGTCCAGCCGTGAGCTTGTGCTCATCACCCAGGCATTTCCAGAAAGCCTGTTGGAGACCATCTTCTGAGTGCTGTGCCCTCTGTTGCCCCCCCGCCTGCCCTCTCCTCCTCGACCCCATTCTTCCTTCTCTTTCCCCTTCCCGCCCTCACTCCCGCCCCCTCCATTTCATTTCAGATTTGCCCTCAGCCTCGGGGAAGCGCAGGTGGCTGTAAGTTCGGGTGTTGAGGACAGCATACAGGCTAGCAGGTGTCTGAGGGGGTTTCCCGACGTGCTGGGTGCAGTTGCCCCATGTGGCTACCTCCACAGCTATTGCACCCATTTCCCAGATGGGGAAGTTGAGGTCCAGGGAAGGGAATTCAGTGATACTCTTTTTATCTTACTATTTCTCATAAGCCTGGAAGCCACACAGAGAGAATTCTCGTGAATCAGGAGAGCAGAAAACTGATGGTCGTTTCACTTCTTGCCAAACACGGTGTGTCATTGGGTTTGGAGGAAACAGTCATTCACTCCAGACGGCTGAAGGGTGTGTGTGTGAGTGAAGTCTGTGTGTAGTTTTTTTTAAATTATGATTTAAATCCAAGCTAGTTAACATACAGCGTAGTCTTGGTGTCAGGAGGGGAGTCTTCCCTCGCAGGCGGGCCAGAGGGATAGTCATCCGCCGCTGGTCGCTGAGAGCCCAGTGTTGTGCAGAACTGACTGGAATGTGCCGGCCTCCCCAGTAGGCCCCGTCTTGTCTGCGGACCAGGAGCCCCAGGTCTGGGAGAACAAGGATCTGAGTCCAGAGCTGGTGCGGCCCCAACCCCTTACCTGGTCCACACCCACTGGTCAGACTCCACTTGGGAGCTGGTGTGCCCTGGGGTCTACACCTCCCGGGTCTATACCCGGGCTCCCGCTGACTACCACCCCCACACTGGGATGCACCTTCCCAGGCAGGGCCCATCCGGTGGTTGGGCTGCAAGCCTCAGAAGCACAGATCACGCGGCCTCAGCCGCGGGGAAGCCGTCGGCTTGCAGTGCCGGGCTTGGGTGGCCGTGAGCGCTGGGTGTCCCGGGAAGCCAACAACAGTGAAAGCCCTGGCCTTTGTCCTTGCCCTTCTGTGTTCAGGGCTGACCTCTCCTCAAGGCTGTGGCTGCTGTAGCCATCAGGCTTCACTTCTCTTCTGTTCCCAGGCGACAGGGAAAGAGCAGAGCATCATAGCCCGTGGGTCTTTCTTAGGAAACTTCTTCCAGAAGCCCCAGCATGCTTCCATCCGTGTCCTGTCGGCTTGGATGGGGCCATTCGCTCTCACCTGAACCAGTCCTCACTCTCAGAGCTGGTGAGCTCAGTCCTGGGTTCTGAACCAGGCCCGGGGCAGCCATGAGCACCCGAGGCCACCAGGAGGGCCACCCTCCTGGCCTCTGAGAGGCCTGACCAGGCCGGGGGAACTGGGTGCATCTGGTAGCCCCCCAAGTGTGGGTCAGGTGAGCAGACAGCCCCGATTTGTCTCTTCTCCAGCCTCCAGGGAGATCTCCTGTGTCCCTCGCCCCCCGGCGTTCATTTCCTTCTGGGACACTTAGGCCCAGAGGGGTCACAGCAGTGACAGAAGCTGAGGCTCGAAACTCTCCTTTAGCTGTGCGTTAATTACACAAACCCTGGTGAACCCGGGGCTCTGGGAATCCGACAGGGACCTTACAAGACCCTTTTGAAGAGACAACATTCAAACGGGCTTGACTATCACGTAGATCCAGACATACAAAGATTACAAGAGACATTTCAGGTACGGAAAACAGCAAGTGCAAAGGCCCTGAGGTAGACAGGCTTGGTGTTATGTTCACAGCACAGAGAGAAGGCTCGTGTGATTAGAGCTTAGTGGCGGGTGGTTTTGGAATCAGGGTCACTTAGGGCCTTGTGGGCCAAGGGCAGGGGTGAGGTGTTGCTCTAAGCATGCTAGGAAGTTTTAGGTGGAGAGAGACAAGGCATGGTAAGGGGAAAGCAAGGATTCCTGTGGCTGCAGGATAGAAGATTATGCAGTAGCAACAGTGTGTGTGTGTGTGTGTGTGTGTGTGTGTGTGTGTGTGTGTGTGTGTGTTTGTGTGTGTGAGAGAGAGAGAGACAGAGACAGAGACAGAGAGAGAGAGAGAGAGAAGGCCAGGGCTTTCTACATGTTTATAAATGCTCAAGCCCTAGCCCAAATGCCAGCAAACCTCACATACTTCTGGAAAACCCCAGTGCAGAATTCTTACTCCTCAGAGCAACCTCTGTAGTGTGTTTTTCTGGGCGGTCAGTGGGGTCTGACTTGCTGCCCTCTCATTCCTTCCTGGGGGTGGGGGCTTTGTCCCAGGCCCTGTCTGCGCCCCCTCGGACCCTTCCTGGGGGGCTGAGCCCCACAAGGTGGGTTGGGCTCAGGGAGGCTGTAGTTTGGTTCCTGTAGGGAATCTGGGCACATGTCTACACCTAAACAACACATGCGTACAAAAAAAACCCAGTGTCCACAGAAGGGTCCAGAGCGTGGCAGGAGCTGAGACGGCACGAGAGGCGCGGGGACGTGGGCACCTCTCACGTCGGCCGTTTGTCGGGGACGGAAGTGAGTTTGGAGGCTGCAGGTGCTCGAACAACGTTTGTGTCCCAAGGTCACCTTCGAGCTTTCGGAGTCTGCCTGTGCTCACGCTGTTGCCTTAGACCAAAGGACCTTTAATAAGAGCCTGTGTTTCCTCTCCTCCCCACCCCCCTGCCCTGCACCTCCGCTTCCTGTCAATGCAGAAAACAGCAGCAGTGACCAGAGACAGGCCTGTAAGAAGCACGAGCTGTACGTCAGCTTCCGAGACCTGGGCTGGCAGGTAAGGGCTTCCCCGTGCGCCCCCCCCAGGGCGGTCAGGGCTGTGTCCCACATGTTCAGGGGGTCACGTCACGTTCCTCACCTACTTCTCCTACGACTCTGGTGTCGAGTGCCCTAACCAGGGTAGAGAACTCGGGGCGAGGATGCAGGCCTCCCTCATGAAGTCCAAGAGCACAGATGGAGTCAAGCTGGAACCAGGAACCTGAGCACTTTGGACTCTGAGCCCCGTCCCCCCCGCAAACTGCATTTCCATCCTGCGGCTGGTGCTTCTCCCCGAGGTGGCGGAGCCTGTGTGCGCGAATGCAGCTGCGGGGAGGGCTGGCTCCCGCCTCCTGCCCCGTCTGCCCCTCCTTCCCCTTCCATGACTCAGTTCCCCGGGGCGGGGAGTCGACTGAGGCAGCTGGGGTCAGGGTCAGGGTCAGGGTCCTGAACCAGTCAGCTGTTCGGGGGATAAGATCACGTCAGGACGGTGACTGCTCCCTCTAGAACCACCCGGATGGACTGGGGTGAAGGGCAGGGGGTGAGTCCTGGCCCGGGCATGAGGGTCACGCACTCTCATGATTGTGTACGAGCATCTGCGGCATTCTGGGTGCCCGTCCGGGCAGTGGAGGTGCAGCCGTGAGTGTCTGCAGCGAGCCCGCCCGCGTGGAGCGCAGCTGTCCCTGACGGGGCGCTGAGATCACCGAGGCCACCATGTTTGTTCTCGCCGCAGTGAACTGTGGTTCCGTGGGGGAGCCTAGATTCTTCCCTGGGGGTCCCGCCCAAGCGCACCGCAAGGCACCGGCCCCCAGCCTGCGCGGAGCCCTCCCCCGCATCTGTCCTCGTAGTCTCGGCCCCCGTGCTCCACGGGCACCCGGCCCTGCACCCTGGACTCCAGCTTCCTCTGTGGGCAGAGTCCGTGCACCTGAGTCGGGGGTGGGTGGGTATCGCTGGGTGAGCACTGCTGCACCAACCCGACCTTAACCAAGCCGCTCGCGTGTGCCTGGTGGCTGGCCGGCTCGGCCACGCTGTCATCTATCTATTCTCGCCGTGGAGGGTTCGCAGTCCCTCCCCCACATGGATGATGAGAAATGGAGATTTTGTTGGAAGCAGAACGCCAGCGTGTCACCAGCTAGTAGCACCAAAGTTCATGTCACCTTGGTCGCGCTTCTCTGTGTCACCTCCCAATAAAGCCGCGCAAGCACCCGTTCCCAGCTCAGCCCGGCCCCCGGTGGCCTTTCCTTCTCTCTGCATTCAGCTGGGACTGTGAAAGCAAGTCACCTGGACGCCCGGCTGCCCTGGACGGCGGGAGCCGTGTCTGATGTCTGGGAGCGCGGCGCGTGGGCCGCCGGAGGGGCCTTGGGCGCGGAGGGTAGTGGGCCGGACGGGGCTCACCCCCCTGATTTGCCCTCTCCCCGCAGGACTGGATCATCGCCCCTGAAGGCTACGCCGCCTACTACTGCGAGGGCGAGTGCGCCTTCCCGCTGAACTCCTACATGAACGCCACCAACCACGCCATCGTGCAGACGCTGGTGAGTGCGCCCACCCCGCGCTCCCCAGCTGGGGCCCTCATCCTGTCTGGGCCCCTTCCTCCGTAAAAAGAAAAAATTAAAAATGTTTTTGATTTTGACAACAGCATCAGCAAAGCAATGTGTCGTATCCGACCCTAAAGTTCGTGCATTTCTTCTGATTTTGAAAGAAGTCAGAACAGTTTCATGGGCTCCTAAGGCATCTTGGACAGTGGTCACCGTGCCGCGCGGTGACGTCGGCCCTGGCCCTGCCTCTGTCCGGGGCACTGTTCCTGCTTGTCGCGTGTCTACTCCACATGCACAGGTGTCCCCCGACCCCCCAGATCCGAGCCTCCTCGGCTTCAGGCCAGCTTGAGAGCCTGTCTCCTCCCTGAGCTCACCTCTCTGCCTTCTAGCCTTGAACTTTGGGGGTTTGGCCATCCAAGGGCGTTTCCTGAGCATCTCCTGGGACCTGGGGACACTGCAGGCAACGGCACAGATGTGGTCCCTGCCTTCAGGACCTCAGCTTCCAGGGAGGGAAAGGGTCAAGTAGGCAAACGCGGAAACCTGAGGGGAGTGAGGGACATGAAGGCGGCAGACAGGGCGCTAGGGCGGGGGGATGGGTGAGGGGGGCTGTTTAGGTTGAACTTTCCTGCGGTTGTTGGAGGATTCAGTGTGATAAGAAAAGCTCCAAACAGGGTGTCAGCACTGGAGGACCACCCCCCCCCCAGTACCTGTGATTTTTATTATTCTATTGAAAACAGCAGTAGTGATAAAAAGTAGGGACTTGGTTCTTCAGCTTAGACTCTGAGGTTCAGGGACCTTGATTATCTAGCTCCTCAGAGCCTTTCCTGTCAACTGGTCATCCTCCCCAGCTTAAATGCTCCTGGTGCCAGAGAGCTCACTACCCAGAGCCGTCCCCTCTGTCCTACAGTTCTTTTTGTTATGGAGTCTTGCGCTTCTTTTGTTCCGTAGTAAATGGTCTCTCTCTTCCCTTGTCCCTGCCCCACGCATCACTTCCTGGAGAAAAAGGTCCTCTATTTTGGACCATGGCCTCTGCTCTTGGAAAGAAGGCCTCTCTTTTAGCAGTGCTTTTCCAAGGCTCTTCCTCCCCCAACAGTAAACTCTGGAGCCGTGTTCAGGACTGAAAGTCCTCGGGCTGGAAATGAATAGTGACCCCACCCTGTTCCTTGGCCTGGGCCTGCTCCCCTGTGCCCGCATGCCCCCTAAGACCCTGTCCCGAAGCCCCTGGGAGGTGCCACGGGGGGTGAACCTCTACCCTCCAGCCCCTGCTTCATGGCTCATGCAGTAGGAGCCAAGCTGTCCTGTGATCACCCGCACGGTCCGCATGGCTTGAGGGAGCTCCGGGATCAAACCAGCCTTCCAGTTACTCTGAAAAGATGGTCCTGTGTGCTCATGTTTAAAGGCGGGGGCGGGGGGGGCCGCCCAGGGAAGAATCCTTGCCTTCTGAGAGTCCCAGTGAAATACAGAGGCGACAAGCTGATGTCTGGGATTTGCTTTCAAATGACTCAGGGAGGAGGAGGTGGGGAGGGTTAGATTTGCAAGGTTTGAAACAGTCCGTCACAAACGGTGACAACATATGTCAGAGGTCCCGGGCTGGCACGTTCCCTGGGCATGTGCGTGCGGCACCTTGGAAACCTGCAAGTTTCACCTGAAACAAAGCAGGAACCAGACCCCTGGCCCGTCCTGGGCACTCGGCCGCCCAGCCGCTCTGGCTCCGGCTGCGGGCGCTGCGCGGCCTCCTGCCCTCGCCTCTGTAAGGCGAGGAGACTCTGGTGAGCAGGAGGAAGCGTGGACCTGGGCAGTCAGCCGGCTCCTGTGTACAGCCCTCCCTTCTAGACCCTTCTCTCCTGTTGACGTCCAGCCCGGTGTTTGCCCCGTTTTGTCTCCTGCGGTTACTGCTCAAGAGGCAGAACAGTCCGGTAGCATTTAGATCCCACCGTCCACTCCGCTAACCCCCTCACACGCGGTTCTTGAGCCCTTGACACACTGCTGGTCTGGACCAAGAGGCACTGTCAGTCCAAGATACACACAGGGGTGCCTGGGCGGCTCCGTCCATTAAGTGCCCAACTTCGGATCAGGTCATGATCTCTTGTGAGTTCGAGCCCCACATTGAGCTCTCTGCTATCAGCGTGGGGCTCCTTTGGGGTCCTCTATCCCCCTTCTCTGCCCCTCCCCCCTCAAAAATAAATAGAAATTACAGTACAGTCCACACCAGGGGGCACCCGGTCAGTTTAAGCGTCCAGCTCTTAGTTTCGGCTCAGGTCATGATCTCACGGTTTCTGGGATCCAGCCCCATGTCTGGCTCCTCACTGAGTGTGGACCCTGCTTGGGATTCTCTCTCCCTCTCTCCCCACCCCTCCCCTGCTCGCATTCTCTCTCCCTCTCTCTCTCTCCCTGTCTCTCTATCTCAAAAATTTAAAATCCCTAAAAAAGTAAAACATACACTAGGTTTTGAAGACTTAGTACCAAAAAAAAAAAAAGGTAAAATATCTCATTAACGATTCTTTACGGTAAATACGTATTGAAACAATATTTCTGAAATACTGGGTTAAATTAAATATATTAGTTAATTGTACCAGTTTCTTTTCCATCTTTTCAAATGTGGCTACTAGAAACTTTGAAATTACATGTGTGACTCACTCTCTGTTTTTCTTGGACAAGACCAGTCTAGCCCAGGGGCCAGCCACCTTCTTCTGAAAAAGGCCAGATGGTAAATATTTTTGGCCTCCTGAGTCCTACGTCCTATGCTGCAGTGACTCAAGTCTGCCGTTGTAGCGCAGGTGCAGGCCTAGGTGCCGGGGATGGAGTGGGCGGGGCAGGGTGCCAATAAAACTTTATTCACACACACAGGTGGTGGGGCCGGATTCGGCCTGCAGGCCCCTCTGTCTCCACTTGTGGCAGTTTTGCCTCCCAGGGGACATTGGACAATGTCTGCAGACAGTTTTGGTGGTCACGGTTGGGGGCTGAGTGGCCCTGGCTTCCCAGAGACCCCGGTAAGCACTGGGCAGCGCACAGGCCAGCCCTGCAGCAGAGGACCCCCGGCCACTCACTCCCCAGCCGTGTGCCGTGTAGACGCAGGACGCGGTTAGCTCCGCGCCAGCCCCAGAAGCGCCGAGGGAGTGTCCCATGCGCGGTCATTTTGCCCAAGCCGCACGTACGTGTCCCTTGCAGAAACGAGGAGGCCGGGAGCAGCAATGACCTGGTGTGTCCCACCTGCCGCACCTCACCTGCCACGTTCCGTGTCGTGTCTTCTAGGTTCACTTCATCAACCCGGACACGGTGCCCAAGCCCTGCTGTGCCCCCACTCAGCTCAACGCCATCTCCGTCCTCTACTTCGACGACAGCTCCAACGTCATCCTGAAGAAATACCGAAACATGGTCGTCCGCGCCTGTGGCTGCCACTAACCCTTCCTGGGCACAGAGCCTCTGGGGCCTCGGTTCTCAGGGCCCTCGCCGCCTCCGCCTCGGCAAGGTGCCAGCAGACCCACCGCCTTTCGAGAGGCCCGTCCCACCCCCGTCCCCAACCCTAACGGCGGAGGAGTGGTAAGGAATTTGAGAGGTGAATGCCTTTTGATCCGGTTTTCACCAGCCTCCTGTGGACAAGTTCCTACAAGCTGCTGCAGGCAAAGCCTGAAGGAAAAAAATATACATATAAAGAAAAATTGCCAGGCCGCGATCACAGGCTGTGACGTCTGGGCCGTGCACTGACTCGTTCCCGGGGGTAGCTAGGAGTGCCCTTCAGCCCGGCGGCCACCAGCAGCGGGAGGCAGGGGTGCGGCGAGGGGTGGGCACGTCACGTCTGCGTGCAGGGAGAGTTGACGCGGAAGTTCGTGTAATAAATGTCACAATAAAACGAATGAACGAAAATGGTTAGGATGTGACAGATATATTTTCCTAAACAGTTTATCCCCATGTCTGGGTTTACTCTGGTTTCGTAAACGGAAGCTGTGGCCGGGGGAGGAAGGGGGACCCCCCCCCCACTCCTCCATTACGCTCCGGTTTCATTCTGAGGCTTACACAGGCCCACTGTTTACAGAGACTTGCCCAAATCCATGATGTAGCCGGGAAGGGAGAGAGGGCACATTTCTGCTTGCAGGAGGGGGTGTGTTGACCTTGAGGGAAAAGCACGTTCAGCTGGGTGTGTGTGTGTGTGTGTGTGGAGGGGGGGGTGTGGCAGAAATTAAAGCCGGCATGTGAAGGGCCGGGAAACATTTGGAGTTGGTTTTCCAGCTCTCCTCGTGATAGAAAAATCAATGTGGATGCCAGACCGGAAGGGATAGCGATCAAGACAACCTGCAGCTCGACCCTGAACTCGAGCCAACACGGCCCTACTTAAAGAGGTGCCAAAGGAAGCCTAGCTCTAGATTAGGGCGGGGTGGGCGGGGGTGCTGGCCCCTGCCCAGCCGGGCTCCCCCGTTGTTCATTTATGGACATCAGCCTTCTGAAGTCTGGGCTCCAACCAGGGTCCCGTTTGAAGGCTCTGCAAAGCATCAGCTCCTTGAAGTCTGGAGCAGATGACATGGTGGAGATCCGCTGGGTGCAGCGTGTGCTGGACACCAATCTAAATGGAAGGAGCTAGAAGCCGCTTGGAGAGTGATGTCCTAATTGAGTGTTCAACTCAAAGTTGCCCTTTCTGATGTGGCTGTGGGTGCGAGCCTCCCTTCCCTTGGCTGGTGGGTCCCCCAGATGCTGTGTGCCTGGGCCCAGCGGCAGCGCAGGCTATGGCGAGCCCTGGGCGGCCCATGGACACAGAGCAAGGCTCTCCAGGGAGTCCCGACAGGCAGGGAGTTGTTTCTCCACCTTGATTAGGTTGGCTCCTGGAAACACGGGGCCCCCCGGTTTTCTTTTCTTTTTCTTCTTCAGTAGCTTAGGCTGCAGCCTTCATTCGGCCTGGTCAATAGAGAAGAGTCGCTGTTGGCTCTGCCTTATTTGGTTCCGTTGGCAGATCTGGGATTTTTGTGTGATTCCCTCTCGGGGCAAGGTTTCTGGCCTCTTGTACCCCAGCTGGCTTCTGGCTCGCATCACTTGTACATCGAAACATGTAAATACTTGTCTCAGAACAAAGAGATTATTTATGTCCCTCGGAAGCTCCCTTTATGCCCTTCTTCAGCCCCTTGTCCAGAGCTCGCTTCCCTCCAGCCTGTTTGTTTTCTTATTTAAGACTATTTATTAACGGTGGGACCATTGTACCTTCAGCTGTTGCATAGAGCGGTCCTCAGCGAATTTTCTGTATAAATAGACAAAATAAAAAGGGTTTTTTGACTTTTCAATAAAAGGAGACATTTGGTTCTGATTCTTGGGGCTGTGTATGTTGTTTTGTTGGGGTTTTTTTTATCCCCTCCTGACTCCTGGACATCGGAGCTTTCTTGGTTTGCTGAGAGCTCTCCGCCGGGGCCCCCACCGCTAACACACTGTTTATCATGTGGGCCTCGGGGAGAACGGGGCGCTCGTCAATATTTGGTGCAGCTGTGTGGGGCCCCCCGGCAGGAGAGATGGAACCGGACCACAAATGTGAGTTTGGGAGGCTCGACTACAAAGATCCTTGATTGAATTACAGTACAGCTGTCAACAGCTGTTTCAGCGAGGCAGGGGGTAAATTAGCTGTGTTTACTGCTAACATACTTTAGAGATGCAGTCATCCCAATAAAATAGAGGCACAAGAAAGAAACAACAACGACAAAAAAGGCGGGCTGGGGGGCAGGGGGAGGGGAAGCGGACGCCCCAAACCAAACCAGCCCAGGCCCCCAAGACAGCATTGACCAGCGCAGATTGTTTCAGTGGTTTGGGGGCGTCCGTTGGCTCCGGGCTCAAGCCTGGGGGGCCCAGAGGGGCGCCTGGTGGAGGCAGCCAGGGGCCCAGCTCCTTGCGGCGCCCACAGCAGCGCTCAGCCACGCGGCGTGGAACAGCATCTCCAGCTCCTCTGTCACTTTCAAGTGCGCCCCGAGGTCACCTGACGGATGTTAGGAGCCCGGCTGTTACTTGGCCAGACGGCTCGCTCGTCCCCGTTGCCTCAAACAAAGCAGCCGCTCCTAACCCGTTCCCGCCCCGGGGCTTCCAGAGCCTCTTCACCGTCCACGTGCGCCATAGAGCCTTCCAGGCCCGAGATGGAGCCACAGCCCAGAGGCCCAGATGCGGCCCGCGGACTCCCCGTCCCCCCACACCCCAGCGCGGTGTTTATACGTCTTCAAAAAGGGAGTTCATGGCCAACATGGTTTTGAGAAACAGAAGGTCAAGGGTGAAAAAAAAAAAAAAACTCCCCAGTTCTGGCTCCTCTTGAGAAATGGGCAGATCTGGCTGCCGTGGGCCCCGTTGCTGCCCGGAGCCTCCCAGCCGGAGGCGGACAGCGCTCGTTAACCTCAGTCCTCACTGCGCCGTCGTCCCTCGCATTGTGATAGTCACCAGGGGTGAGTGTCTGTTGCTGTTTCTATCATGGCAGGTGGCTACCCACCTGCATTTGTACCCACGTGTCTATTAAGAGCAGGAAAGTAAAAGCCACGCGCTCAGGTAGACGCAGAGAGGACACTCACAGAGCCACCCGCTGGCCCGTCTCCCCCGCCCGGCCCCTGTTTGGACTCGTGGGGGCACGTGTGTGTGGCTGCAAGCGGCACACATGCCTTCCTGGCCTCTGCCTCTCGCTCATTCTCACCTCGGAGCAGCTGTTCACCCGCCTCCCCCGCCCCTGCTCTCAGGTACTGCTGCTCCCGCCACCAGGCCTCACATCCCCACTGGCCCTGCCGAGTGGGCGCAGAGAGGTGAAGGCATCACCCCAGGTCCGCAGCTGGCAAGTGCCGGAATCGGAGCCTGAACCCCAGAGCCTGGGCTCCACCGCGCTCACCGGAGCTGGAATCCCCCCCGGGGTGCTTGTCAACCTCCCAGAGTCCCCCGGCCCCGTGTGTCAGTCCCTGAATCCATGACAACTTCCTGGACCACAGGGGCAGGCCTTGGGTCCGCCTGGTGTTTGCGAGCCGCCCAAGGCCTTCCTTCGTGAACAGGACGCGGAACGTAACGAGCATGAAGCTTCCTCCCCGGCTGGCCGGCCGGTGACAGACAGTGTGTGGGTCCTGCTGGAGGTGGGGGTCACTGAAGCCATCTGCCTGAAGACCCCTCACAGGTACGTTTTGAGTCCTTCCCTCTGTTCAGATCCTTCGGAGAAGGATCTCGGATTCGTCCCCCGGAGCCGCCGGATGATGCCAGAGTGGGGGCTGAAAGCAGCAGAAATGTGTGCTCGCGGCTCCGAGGCTGGAAGTCAAAGACCGAGGTGTCTACAGAGCTGTGGCCCCGCAGGGGCTCCAGGGACAGCCATTCCACATGTCTCCCAGCTTCTGGGGCTGCTGGCTTCCTGGGCCTGTGGCTGGGCCACCTGCCCGAGGCTCCATCTTCACGTCTCCCCGTTCTCTGCATCTTCCTGCCTGTCTCTTACAAGGATATTTGTCGCTGCGTTTAGGATTCACTGGGAAATCCAGGAGGATCTCATCTCAAGGTCCTTAATCACATCTGCAAAGATCTTTTCTCCAAATAAGGTCACATTCATAAGTCCCAGGCATCAGGATGTACACAAGCCATTTCTGAGGCCACCATTCAACCCATTAGGGTGACATTCTCGACCTTTTCCCATGGCCTTGCCCTCTTCTCCCACCACAAAGTTCCGGAAACTAACAGAACCTTCCGGCCAGCCTCAGTTGGTCCTCACAGCCTGCCTGGTGCCACATGTGCTGGTGGCTGAGCGCTGTGGCTTTCAGCCCTCTCCCGCGGCTGGAGGAGGGGCCATGGGAGCCCAACCCCGGCTTCCCCCTCTTCCCACCCTCGGCCCGTGCACCACGGGAGCCACCGTCCTCCCGTGGGGCCAACACAGCACAGGGATCCAGGCCAGGGCGACCCTGGTGGAGCGGGCAGACCACACATACATGGGTGACCACGGCCAACGGCAGCAGAACCACAATGCCCTTTATGGGAACTGGGATCGCTCCGAGGAAACAGCTTACTCTTGGGCCAGAAGCATCCAGTCACTTGTCACCAGCTCAGTGTCCACTGTGTTTCAGCGCCACTGCCACCAGAGACTCGGGGACGAGTTGAAGCGTCCCCACCACAAACCTCACATTCGGGAGCACAAGAAGCAAAATGGCACCACCCCACGGCCGTACAGACCTTTTCCTTCAAGCAGAATGAGGCCGATCCTATTTTATGATTGGGTTGGAATAAACACAAAACGTCAGGCTGAATCACATTCATTTACCTCCTGATTTCAAAAGACTTGAGGACACGGTGCCTGATGGACAAGCTGGCAGTTTAGGGGCGAGTAATGATGTGTATCAGGAAGAAACGGTGAGCAGGGGGAGGAAGTGAGGGGTTGTCTTGGCTCAGCTCCTTGGACGGAGTGGTCAAGGAAGGGCTCCCTTTTAGCTCCCTTCCCTGAAGGAAGGACAGAGCAGAGGAGTGACTGTAGGGAAGAGCATTTCTGCCTTGGGATTAGCATGTGCAAAGGCTCCGAGGCCCCAGTGGAACCTCTCCTGCCTCCTCACCGGCCAAGGCTGGAGGTGGGGGGAGCGCCGATGCCCTTCCCCAGGTGTTTGGGGTGAGAAATGGCACCAGTCAAATTCACCGGTGGAGGCCACGGACAGGACACTCACTTTCCTACCAGCATCTGTTTGACATGGAGGAGAGTTCTCCTGCCACAGAGTCAGAGGCAGTGCGTATTGGGCAGAGGGACCCGGGACTGTTAGCTGTGGGGTCCACACTGTGGGCACCTCTCTACCTTCTCTGTGACTGCAGCTTCCCCATCTGTGAGCTGGTATGGTGCCCCCCTAGATAATTTAGGATGAGCAGAAGCTTACTTAACAACAACAAACCCCAAATAACAGAGGCTTAAATAAGATAAAAGTTTCTCATTTAAAAGAAGTCTGAAAGCCAGCTGTCCAAGGTCAGGTTGGCAATTCCACTGCACCATTTGAACCCTGGCCTCTTTCTGCCTCTCTGCTCTGTCATCCTAACTCATGGCTTCCATCCTCACCATCCACTTCATAGTCCAACATGGTTGCTGGAGCACCAGCCATTACATCTGTATTCTAGGCTATCTGCTCCCTTCAAGTAGCCATCCTAAAGAGTAGACAAAAACATCTGGTCACCGCCAATTAGCAAAAATACAGTCAGATGGCCACACCTCACTGTAGAGGAGACTGGAAACTATAGTCTTTTATTCTAGGTGGCAACGTTCAGAGTCAGCAGTCAGTGTTTCATTGCTATCAGAATTTTATGGATGCTGGAGACTGGCAACTAGCTCTTTGTATTCGTTTTCACTTGTTACATAACAATTACCCAAACCTGTTGGCTTCAATCATCACCCATTTATTATCTTACACCTTCTGGGGGTCAGAAGTGTGGGCACGGTGTAGCTAGGTTCCCTGCTCAGGACCTCAGGAGGCTGTGAGCAATGGTTGCATTCTTCTTTTTTTAAATGTTAATTTATTTTGAGAGGGAGAGTGGGAGAGTGTGAGCATGGGGGGGGGGGGGGCAGAGAGAGAGAATCCGAAGCAGGCACCACGCGGCCAGCCCAGAGCCCAAGGCGGAGCTCGATCTCATGAACCTGGAGATCCTGACCTGAGCCGGAATCAAGAGGCAGACGCTTAGCTGACCGAGCCCCCCAGGCGCCCCCCAGTGGCTGCCTTCTTACCTGGAGCCTGAGGTCTCTTCCAAAGTCATCCCAGCTGCCCAGATTCAGTTCCTTGCAGCTGGAGGACTGAGGTCCCCGTTTTCTCCCTGGTGGTCAGCCCGGGGTCGCTCTCAGCTCCTGTCCATGTGCTCCTCTCACAACACGGCCACTTCATTTTTCAAAGCCAGCAGGAGGATCTCTCTTCTTTAAAGATTCATCTGATTAGGTCAGACCCACCCAGGATCACCTCCCTTTGATTAGCTCAAGGTCCATGGGTGAGGGGCCCTAACTGCACCTGCAACTTTATACGCTGGGCAGAAATCTGGGGGCTGTTCCGGACTTCTTCCCTCGCAAGACACCTGGGCTCACTACACACCTCGGGCTGCAGAGGACGTTACAGGTACCACGGACACAGTCCCTGGCAAATGGCAGGCACGTGGGAGAATGGCAGCAGCTGTAGCTGAACACAGGGTCCTCCCCCTGAGAACACCCCCCGATCCCATCGAGTGAGCTGAACAATTTAGGTTGTGACAAGTGTCCAGAATCATGACCTGTAGTCCCAGAGTCTCTGCAAAGTCACCCATCAGCTCGGCTACTCTCTCATATGCGCCTGGGGAGGATGAC